ATGCTCCTGCTAAAATGTTGCAATCTGATCATACTCAGGACCCATAGTGTACATTTATATTTGGATTTATGTGAATATTAATGTGCACTTTTGTGAGTATGTGGGATTTAAAAGGGCTATTTTATGAAATGGTATTTTAGAAATCAATTTTTTTTTAACCAAATATGTACAATTTGTATTCTATTTAGTATAGTCTGTTATGTGAGGCAGTTTTTTATATCTGGAGATGGTCATCTTTTTAACAGTGTAAACTTTGAGGCAATATTAAACATTATGACAATCTTTAGAAATTAAACTGTTGAGTTTAAAAGCTTTATTTGACAGTCAAGTTGCGTAATAACTCATATTTTTTTACTCTGCATCACATTATTTTTAATTGAAATATCCGTGGTTATTTATGCCTGTGTCATTAACTCTACTACAGGAAAAATTAAATAAATAATATAAAAGTTAATATGTACAATTATTGACAGTTTATAGAATATTGACATAAGAAGTACAGAATATTTGATGGAGTCCTAACCTCAATATATGAGGAAAGGGATTTAGGGGTGATTATTTCTTATGACTTAAAGGTAGGCATACAATGTAATAGAGCAGCAGGAAATGCTAGCAGAATGCTTGGTTGTATAGGGAGAGGTATTAGCAGTAGAAAGAGGGAAGTGCTCATGCCATTGTACAGAACACTGGTGAGACCTCACTTGGAGTATTGTACGCAGTACTGGAGATCGTATCTTCAGAAGGATATTGAGACTTTAGAGAGGGTTCAGAGAAGGGCTACTAAACTGGTTCATGGATTGTGGGATAAAACGTACCAGGAAAGGTTAAAGGATCATAAGGCTATCCTAACTATAAGATAAGGCTAGGGACTAATGAAAGTATTTAGAAAATTGGGCAGACTAGATGGGCTGAATGGTTCTTATCTGCCGTCACTTTCTATGTTTCTAAGTATGTACCTGAAATGAATTAAAGATCAGTTCAGAATCATTCTTGTTTTTTTGCCGGTGTCAGGATGCATATAGTCTCATTCTCAAACGTGTCAATGCTTTTATATAAGAGTCAAAGCTTTTATTGGTTTAATTAAAAATACATTTTTGTTCCAGCAATCCTTAGAGATGATGTGAATTTAGTCCACTGGGGTTAATTTGTGAACACCTAGAGACATTTTGTTGTTTCAGCTGAACTCTGTGTAATCAATAAACATGGTGTAATCAATAAACCTAAAGTCTGAAGGGTTATTTACAAAAATTAGGATTTAAAGTGAAAAAGCTTTTAAAAACCAGCAAATTTCCCATTTATTCCCATTCTGGGACAGTTTACTTTGGACTCTGGAAAAAGTTTGTTTCGGTCTATTCAGGATTCGTCCATGTGACATTTCGGTTTGGACAAATTTTATCTAAGTGATAATTTGGTAAAACAATTAAGACAACAAAAATGGGCCAATAAGTGTACTGCAAAATTTATACATAATAGATGCCCACCATTCCGTTCACAGGTCAAGTGAGAAGAAGTAACCAGTAGTGGGAAATAGAGGAGGAGCAGTAAAAATAATCTATATTTATATAATATATATGTATTAAATATAAATATAGATTTGTTTTTACTGTTCCTTCTTTTCCCCTCTATTGGTATCTTCTAATCTAGTCTATGAACAAAATGAACATTTAGTAGTTGTTATGTAGCCATCAATCATCTTTTATTTCCCATCAGTCAACTCTTTTTTTTAGCACCATAGAAAATAAATTAAATAAATTAAATTGTGTGTTCATTGCCTTTTTTTGTTTGTTTCCTGATTCATCCATATTGAAGGAGCATGCAATTCATAACAGCTACCAATCAGCAAATTACAATTTCATAAGTCAAGTCTCCTTGGTTCTGCTCAGTCATCTCATGATGGCATCATCATCTTAAATTATTCCTGGTCAAATCAGATGTTTCTTATAGAAATCAACACTCAGCCAACCCAGTGCTTCTCATGGCAACATGAAGACCTTCAAAAACCTCCAGTGGTGGTCAGACAGACCAGTGTAAAATTGTCATTTCTTCTCATTCATCACGGATACAGTCTTCAAGAATATCTCTGTGTTATAGCTGTCTAAATCTAAAGAAGCAACACATTTCTTTTTGGTTAAGCAAACGTTTCATATCTAATGCAAAAAGAAAATAGAAAAATATGGTAACTTTCCTTCACTTCACGCAAGTTTTATTTATTTTCAGTTAGTATTAATGAATGTAAATGCCAGATATTGGTTGCTTTGAGAACATGGCTTGTGCTTTCATACTAGCATTTAGAAGTAATCATTATCAAGTGAGACAGCTCAATGCAGAAACAATACAAGAAACATTTCAGCATGTTCAATGTTCACTCCACAGAAACCTCTCTTAACATTGTCCACAGCTTCCTAAGTGTAGAATTGGTCATTGATTTTCTCTCCTTTAGGATTTTACACGAGATATCATTACTAGTCACCAGCAAATTTTAACTTACATTAAAAACAGTTGGGTGGCACCAAATAGGGGGCTCGCCATTACTGTAACTATCAGAAGTTTTCGGGGGTGGGGGCTGGTGGGAGGTTTTCGGGGGGTGGGGGCTGGGGAAGAGGACAATAGGTTCCCTCCCTTATTCTAATTTAGGGCCCCAACTACCTCTCAGGGGTGGGGGCCGGGGTGGGAGGACAATAAGTCCCCCCATTATTGGTATTTAAGGCCCCCACCCACCTCTCAGAGGTGGGGGCCGGGGGGGAGGACAATAGGTCCTTCCCTTATTGTGATTTAGGGCCCCCACCTACCACTCAAGGGTGGGGGCCGATGGAGAGGACAATAGGTCCCTCCCTTATTCTGATTTAGGGCCCCCACCTGCTACTCAGGGGTGGGGGCCGGGGGAGAGGACAATAGGTCTACCCCCATTATTCTACTTTAGGGCCCTCACTTGTCGCTCAGGGCATGCGTGGGGCTCGGGAGGGCACTTAGGTTGGGATTTTGTTTGTTTTTTAACAGTGAGCAGCCACAGGACACAGGCTGCTCACTGGTTACTAGACATGCATCTACTCGCAGTTTAACGAGCAGGGGCAGAATCTACTAATATTAAGTAATCTTTACTTAGTAAATTTGACTGAAAGACCAATTTAGGTCTTTCAGCCTTTTGGTAGATAGCTCCCTAATACCGTGGGAATTAGGGAGTTATCTACTAAGCGGCTGCAAGAGAACATCCAAAGTCCCAAAGTTCTGAAGTTCCGAAGTGTCCCGAATTTCGGAATGCCGAACCGAAGCAAATATTTTCCCCATGCACATCCTTATCCAATTCCCTGTTCCTAAATACTTAATTCCCTCTCTGGCTATGAATTCCAAAACCACTAGCTACCAACCTCCAAATAAAACCCTGGCCACCAACCCCAAAACTCCTAGCTGCCATTTTCAACTTTATTAAGTTAATAATTTAATAATTCATAGTTCTCTGTTAAATTATTGTTTAAGTATCTATTTTATTTTTC